AACTGGACTGGATTCTCTGTGGCTACAGAAAGAAGGAGAAAGAGAAAGCATTTGATCTACAGTCTTTGCTTTTGATCTAAAATTCAAGTGTGACTTTTTTTTTTTTTAAAGCAGGCACTAACTTAACTAAAAGACAGACTTAAAAAGATCTGGTTATAAAGCTACAAGATGATTAGGTAGAAGTAACTCATTTTCATTGATAAAATGCCAAGTTGCAGTTGAAGACATGGAAAAAAAAAAAAATCACCAATAGTTTTGCAGCCAAGTAATTGGCAGAGCTCTTGGCTTAATTTATTACATATTAAAATTTAAATCTTTTTATGTATTAAAATATTTAAGACTAAATTATGACCAGCAAATATTTAACTTGTAAATGTAATCTGTAACAATTTTCTGATGTTATTCTTTCAGAAAAAGTCTGACTTGTATTGCACTAGGGTTTGGGGATCAGATCAGGTTCTGGACAAAACAAGGACAGCCTCCTCCAAATCTAATTATTAATGGCATTATTGAATTCAACCAGATGTTTCACAAGGATAAAATTAAGCACATGAATAAATCAAGATCCAAGCGCACACTTAGATTTGACAGAAGATAAGGAAAGGTGAAACAAAAAGTAATGAAGACAGTTAATGAAAAACTCTATATCTCTGGTTGCTAGTATAACTTTAAATTAAAAACTCAAAAAGCAATAGGTCTGTTAAAAGATCACTCACTCACATCATATCGCCTACTAGCTTCTATCTGGCCAAGTTTTAGCCAGCTTGAGTAGCAAACCTTTTAAGGCTTCCCAAATGTAATTACACAAGAGATAAGTACACTCTCAGTGTACAAAATATAGCTAATGAGTTACAGTTCTGTTAATAATGTGAGAACCTCAAGTGCGATCCAACAGATAATTCTTTATGGAAATGATGTAAGTAAAAGGTAGTGTGCATGATTTAAAATACAGTATACATTTGTCTTCTCATAACTTTTAAAATTGCAAGATCATATTTGCATTTGATCAGCTGCAAATCAGACACTAAGGTAGAAAAAAAAATCTAGTATTTTAAGAAAAGGGGGAAGACATTAACAAATGAAATTATTTCTAACAAAGCAAATTATTCCTACAAGAGAATGAAACCTCTGGAAACAGGAATCTCTAATCTCAGCCAGTAATTAAAATTGCACTTCTATAATAACGCATCTAAATAGAGTCAACAATTAACTCGAAGTGTCTCTGGCGCATTGCTGCTATTGTAAGTTTACCTGGAAAAAGGGACCGAGATGATGGCTGGCTTTGGATAAAGGTAGCGTGGAAAAAACCGTCGAGCATGCAGTATGCACTCCCTCTACTGGGCACTGAGATTATCCTGAGCAGGCATTGAGAGAAAGGACGGGATACGTCCCAGCATCCAAGTACCGCGAAATAAAAGCCCTTTTACAGCTTCTGCCCTCTTCCCTCAGATTCTGCTAAAACTCAGATTCACAGAAAAATGGATTTCAAACCATTCAAGCCCCAAACAAGCACTTCCCTACAGTGAATGCAATTTGTGTAAGCACCCAAAAACTCATTTGCCTTTGACCAACAAAGTAAGACTGCCACCTCTCACCCCTCTGAAAAATAACAGGAAGAATTGTGTCGATGACTCCTGATCTGCTGGGGGCACAGCAATGGGAAGAAGGAATGCCTAGTCTGGGCAGCTGGGGTATATCACCATGTATAAAATCTTCTGCAAGGGATTTGTTTCTAGGCAGTCAAGGGATAACCTTTGCTGTTCTTTCCCCTCTTTACCCACACATCCTGAGAGGTAAGTGCAAAATGGTGCCATAGCCTACTTGTGTTGGCAGGGTTTAAGTGATACATAAAAACAAAGACCCTCCTTATGATGAAGGTTTTCTGATGGTTTGAGTTTCTCACTATCATGGAGGAGAAAAGAAACAGGTGGTTATATCTCATGTCACGATAAACCGTTTCAAATTTAAGTGTTTCACCGTAAAAAGTTCCGTGCTTTCCTTCAAGTGACTTTGTATAAGAGAAGTTCCATAAACCTACATAAACCTACAGAAAGTTCTCCTGTAGTTTGCAAAGCACTGGGGCTTTTTTTTTTTCAGTAAAGGCAAAAAAAATTCAGAGAAAATAATTTGTGCTAATTTTGTAACATGCTGTAATTGCATAAGGATGCTGCCTTCCAGACTAGTGATCCACAATCTGTAAAATGAAGCAAGCAACAATGGAAAGCATGGAGGTAATAGTGCGGACTGCCAAAAGCAGACACCCTCCTACACCGACCAAACGATTTTTCTGTGAAGACAGGCCAGGTAATCACCAACTTCTTCCTCACAATGTAATTTACATCCAGCTACACTGCTGGTATATTCATATTGAATTGTAGCATCAAGAATTACTCCCAATATATACGCCTTATTTGCATCTCAGCCATGTGCATGTATAAGTGCTCAGCTGAACAAGAGTACCAATGACACGTGGCAACGGTAAGAGACTCCAGGAACTTTCCTCTTTCAAGTGACAATTTAAATCCCTGTGGGAATGAGTGGTATAGTAGAGGTTGTAGTAACAAGTGTCCAGTTTCACTGTCACTAAACCCTTCCCTTTATCAACTTTCTTGATCTCGATTTGAGGACGGGTAAAGCCTTTATTCCTCCACTCCCCAGACAGGACAGAAACAAGGCACAGAAAAGGAACAGATGAAAAGGAGAGAAATTCAAAGACCACAGAAGCACAGAGAACAAGCACAAAGGAAAACCACAAAGTCCGAGGAGACTGGGCAAGCCCAAGTCCCCAAACAAGTTTCCAAGTCCCTGCTGTTCTGTTTCATATTTGCTGATAAAATAAAACCCCTTTCTCCCTGAAGGTAAGGCTTGCCAGTGGTGAAGGATCATAATTACACTCAAAATGAGTGAGCACACAAACAATACACCTTTACGTTCTCCAGCTAACAATACAGACTGCAGTCACTAGTTGCCAGGAAAACTGCTATCACACCCAAATGTGGAGATATCACAGACCAACTACAAGCTAGACAATTTACACAGGACCCTCCACACTCAGACACACTATTTACACTCTCTCTCTGCTTACTAAATGCTGCCCTTCATTTCTAGCTGTGCTCATCTCTACACACGAGCAGGTAACAGCGATCACTGACTCCATGTGCCAACAAATAACATCCATAATGCACTGAGCTCTGTCGGGACAGGATGTCTGTGAGCCAGTGTTCTGAAGGACAGGCTATCAGTGATTCTTCTCTTGGATACAAAAATAAGGAAGGCAGCAAAATTTTGGCATAGCAAGAACTATAGTTCCAATGACACCAGGATGTACAAACAGAAACACCACCACCTAATGCAAACAGCAATGCTGAGTTAAAGAGGAGCTGTGTGTAGTGTTCCATATGCTGACATGTAAATATTTGATGGATGGGGATTTAATAATCACGGTCTAAGAGATGCTGTTTATTTTGCTCTATCACACTCTCATTTTATCGTGTTTTTATGTTTCAACTAAGTCATCTGACACATGAATAAAAGATAATTTACACAGTTTCCTTCTGCAGTACAAAGCTCTCTATGTTCAGGTTATAAATTTAAAGTAACTCAGCACTAAAACTAAATTTGGGTGTTTTCCACTGGAGAAAACCCCTAGGAATAATTATACGTAGTTTTCAATGCATAAGTTAATACCTCAATCTTCATTGCTTCATTTCGAATGTATCCTTCATGAGCCCTGCTATTTATTTTCCTTTTATTTTTTTCCAGCAATGAAATTTATTAGCTCTCAACTTTATATAGATAGCATTGATCAATCTCCAGAAGTGGTAACAATACCACTTTAAACACATACACATGCATGCACGCACACACGAAAATCAAGGCTTGAATGTCCTTTATAACTTGCAAGAAATATAGCAACCAATATTCCATGCAGAGGTGCAGCAAATGAAGTCCTGTCAAGCAAATGGCAGGAATGACAGCAGATGTCTGGATTCCTTCATAGCTGGTTGCATAAAGGTAGCACGCATATTTCACTGGAGAAAAAAACCTCTGACAAGACAGTCTTTCAGTACTTTTCATTCAGAGTTGGCATTTCTGACTGGTGTGGTACATCAGTAGGTGTTAAGGTGATAAACCAGATTAATCTTGATAAAGCTTCGTTTGCACAATGAAAGCGAAGTCTACAACACTCAGTCACGGCTAAACAAGGCTACCACAATTTAGTCCAAGTCTGATGTCCAGATCAAATTCTTACAATCCAGTCATAAACCAGACTTTACTCTGGACCCTGACCCAAAACACTTATTTTCACGTCAAGCTACACAGTAATTTCGTTTGATTGCAACCAACAGAGAAAAGTATTATGCAGCTCTGCTTTTTAGCTACCCAAAAAAGCCACAGACTCCTTTTTGGATCTGAATACAGTATTTGATCTATCAGCCTCTGTTTATTCACAAGTTTTACCTGTTTCACAAAAACTGTCTTTGTGAATTATATTCTGACACTTTAAAGCTTTATATAACAACTAATACTTTTAAGATATCCTCAGTCACATTATATGCTTACTAAAGAGGGTCAATGCTCTAAAGCAGAGACACAATTTTCCTGAATTGTGAGACACTGGCGTAGTTTAGCAAGTTGTAAAAGAACAGGAGTAATACAGCGTTTACTGAGAAATATGCACAAAAGAAGCTGAGGACACACTGTTACACATGAAGAAACTAAGACTAAATAAAATCTGAGCTTAACCACTTCCCTACCCTAAACAACAGTGCTTCCTTACATGGTTTTGTCTCATTAGCAGGTCCCTGGAATACCATATACTGGTGTCTAGTGCGTCTTCTTGGAGTGAAGCTACAAGCAGCTGAATCTTACTGTACTTATCAATAAAACTTGTGTTGAAAAGTTTGCCAGATTAAGGCTTAAGAGAAAGCGCATTTTTTGCATACGTGCTAAGCATTACTAATGGTCTCTCTAGTAAAACAGAATTTTAAGAAACTCACCACTTTTCTTTTTCTCTCTTTAAAGGAAATGTTCATTTCCTTGTATTTCTTCATAGCAGTCTCCAATTTATTCTTGAGATCAATGGCACATCTTAGCCGATCATCATTTATTCCTGCTCTGGTAAATAACTGCAAAGCAAGAAATCAGCATTCTTATTCTGTTGCCAGACATCTCAGCCAAAAAACTTTCTTGGTTTTCCTTCATAATTAATGAAACAACATTGTCACCAATTTCTTTCTTTTACAAGTAACTTTTAAGGCCAGGTTGGATGAGGCTTTGAGCAACCTGGTGTAGTGAAGGGTGTCCCTGCCCATGGCAGGGGGGTTGGAACTAGATGATCTTTGAGGTCCCTTCCAACCCGAACCATTCTATGAGTCTATGATAGCAACTAGCAAAGCCACTTCTTTTCCTACCTAGAATATAACAGCTAATAGCAACTACTCTGCTATGCAAAGAATGAATGAACAGCTGGTATAAACACCTCCTGAGAGTGCCCTTCTATAGACCAAATTCCATGCATGAGCCTCCTGAGCAGTCATATTAACTGACAGAGAGGACATACTGTTTTTCTGATATGGACATGTCTGACAAAAACAAGCTGTGTTCTACTTCAGCCCTTTACAAAGAAGCCCTGTTTTACTATATCTTACAAAAAAAAAAAAAAAAAAGAGGTATGACTGCAGGTAGCATACCTAATGCCGAGAGCCACCAAACAAGTTATGTAGGTCCTGTGGTCTCCTTTTGTCTGCCCCTACTATACTAGAAATCTTTTCTCTTTGCACTAATGTTTCTTCAACCTTAATTTCCTTTTTGCTCACTCTCCCTCAAGATTTTCTGAACCCCAGGCCTTGCTTCTCCATCTTTTTATTAAAAAAAAGGAAAAGAATTGTCTCTCTCTCACCTGAATCCAAGACTGCACAGAAGGCCAGAACTTATTTCTGAGGAGTTTGTGAGCATCCATGACACTGTTTATTATGGCAGTATTATCTTCATTCTCATGCACTTTTATATCTGCTCAAAACAGACGAAAAAAGGGTGAGCGTTTACAGCACCTTCACTACAGGAGCCAAAGAAGCTAAGTGGAAGAAGTAGACATCAACCTTTCTAAAATATTTGATAACTTTCAGAATACAGATGTGTTACATACGTAACATATCAGAATACATCTCCATTCAGTATTAATTATTCTACCATTATCCACACTTTCAAAAAGAAATCAGAGGAAAAGCTTTCAGCCCAGTGACGACAGAAAGAGTTGTTAAGCCATCACTACTAAGGAATCACAAAATAAACCATAGACAAGTGCAGTCTTACTATTTACATTACATCTTGTCCTAAATTCCAATCAATGCACTGGGCCTTATTGTACCAGTTTCTGCATATTCAGTATCAAAAAAAATCTCTGCTCCAGTGGCAATAGGGACTTGATTGTCAAAGAAGCCAAGTATGCCACTACTCAAGTGAAAATGGCACTTGGCACTTGTCATTCATAAGCCCCACAGAGAAATTGCCAATTCCGTTGTCTGCAAGCACAACCTGTCTTACCGGCTGTTTGCACGTGAAATTCTGTTAGGACAGTCTTGTGTAAGAGACTTCGCTTAGACTATCAAAACACAAACCATCCTGTTTTTTCTAAAGGTAAATAATATTAACAAATTTATATTAAAAAAGATATAACCATAATCCTTAAGACTTCGTAGCAAAATTCTACTTATTGCCTCTTGCAAGTTGTCAGCAGCAGGAAAAAAAAAATTTATGAAACAGCCAATTGTGAGATTTTTACATTAGTAGCTTATATATAGAGAAAGAAAGAGGTGAATGGTGAAGCATATGGGAAATAAAATTATATATAGTAAATAGATTATAATTTTTTTTTTAAACACAAGTAACTCATCTTATTCCAGGTACTATGAAGTGCTGCAATATGATTACAACAACCAATACAAAAGTTCAATCTTAGAAGGTAATTAATAAAATCTGTAAATCACATACAAGGACACTCCAACCTAACAATGGTTACTTGATGAACCAGAAATAGAGAACAACTCTAAAATAAATGGTGTTCAGGAACCTCAAGCACTTAAGAGAGAAAAACAAACAAACAAACAACCCACCAACTAAAAAGCACTTCAGACAAAAACTGACTCCAGCTATATGTGAAAAAATTTTCCAGGTACCTGTGGAGATTTCAAGGTCTAGAGTATACTTATGTGAAACAAGCCCATGGTTCCTAACGAAAGTGTGGTAATCATCGTCATCGAGAGCAGGGACACCAGACTGAACTTCCAAGCGTGTGCCTCCACCTGATTCTTTCTGCTCAGGCTTCTCTTGTTTCTCATCAAACTCCTCATCAGTTCTAACACACTGAGAAACAGGAAGAACGTCCTTGCTGCAGCATGGCTGCTCATCATCCATGCATTCAAAATCGGACTGCTTAACTTCCATCTGGGAGGGCAAGGGGGACGCAGCTCTGTCCTCATTAGCAGGCATTTGTTTGTTGGGTTCCAGTTCCGTGTCATTCACAGTGAAGTCAAAAGGATCCGGCATAAGAAGTCGGAAACAGTTTTCCATCTCTGTCAACGTGTCAGTAACCTCTTGGGACATTTCTATTAGAAATTAGAGAATTGGTTAAGAATATTGTTAAACACTGTAAAATGCCAACGTCTTCAATGCAGATTTACAAAACAAATACAATTGCCAAAGGGGTAATCCATTTATCCAGTAATCAGTGATAATTTATCTACACATATCTCTCTCCACAGCAGAAATTGTCCTTATAAAAGTGACAATACTTCTCTTAAGCAGGAACTCTACAATTTCCTGAGCAAGGAATTTAGAGTCAGTGTTCCTCCTTTCTCTGTCCTCTCTAGAATTCCACTGTGCATCAAAGATGACGCAAATACTTCACAGAATCTGAAGGAGAACAAAGTTCAATGAGCGTTTTCTTAGTGCTGTTGGTGGGTACTCATTCTACAGCCATGAATGTTGGAGCTACTGGAGTGGGTCCAGAGGAGGGCCACCAAGATGATCCGAGGGCTAGAGCACCTCTGCTATGAAGACAGGCTGAGAGAGTTGGGGCTGTTCAGCCTGGAGAAGAGAAGGCTCCAGGGTGATCTTATTGCAGCCTTCCAGTACTTAAAGGGGGCCTACAGGAAAGCTGGAGAGGGACTTTTCACAGGAGCATGTAGTGATAGGACAAGGGGCAATGGATTTAAACTGAAAGAGGGGAGATTTTGATTAGATGTAAGGAAGAAATTTTTCATTCAGAAGGTGGTGAGGCACTGGAACAGGTTGCCCAGAGAAGTTGTGTCTGCTCCATCCCTGGAAGTGTTCAAGGCCAGGCTGGATGAGACTTTGGGCAACCTGGTGTGGTGGAGGGTTTCCCTGTCCATGACAGGGGGTTGGAACTAGATGATCTTTGAGGTCCCTTCCAACCCAAACCATTCTATGATTCTATGTTACACTTGCTCATAGGTGTAGCCATGGATATATGCTACTGCTGAAAAAGATGCTACCAGTAAGAGTGACTTTAAGGTTAAATCTCTTCAACATTCCACTCTCACGCATGAAAATGTTGCCAGCATGCAGAACAAACGCATGCATTGCGTACACCAAAGTAATTTAATTAAATAACCCTTTGTAACTGCAACATAATACGTTTACTATCCCTGTTCTTCTTTCATATTACAGAAATATATTTGCTATGTACATATTGCTTACAGATTCATCCCCCAGTTAGACACATTTCTTAAGAGCGGTACGATACTTTTCATAGATATCCTACACTGCATCCAGGACTCCTGTGCTGACGACTGCCTATACTTCTGGAACATGATCACTGTAAGTACAATATAATTAAGGTCATTTGTTTACCCTGATATTCTTTAGGTGAGAGAGACAGAGGGTCAAGCTCTAACAAATGTACTACTCCTATTAATTGGAAGCTATTCTCTTAGAATTTGTTTTACATAACCTTAAAAAAGGTTGCTTTAAAAACAAACAAAAAAAACCCAAAACACCAAAACAACCAAAGCATTTCACCTTCCATTTCTTTTTCAGCTCTTTTGGCTTTTTCTTTGTAAATGTTATCCAGTCGTTTTTGCTTCTCCTCTTCCCTCCTCCTTTCAGCCACAGTTCTGGCATGCACATCTTCAAAATCCACCTAAGGAGGAAATGAAGAAAAAAAGTGTAACATTCCTTTTAAGAAACATACAGAAAATCCATTTCCTTATCTGTGGTGAAAAATCCTCTAACATCAGTGATCAGCCAGAAGCTCAGCAGTACTCCCTTTTATCTCTTCTCCTCCTAGGATCAATAACTACAGTAATTCTGAATGGAGTTTTTACTTCTACTAATAAGGGACTACTGACAATCAATGGCTTTCAGAAAGGAATCATAAGGTAGAAAACCAAAACGCTTAGATTTCCGCATCTAAATTGCGGGAATAAACTAGGCTTTGGGAGACCTCTGTCACAGCACTGGAGACATAGGGTCAGGGGGAATGGGCAGGAAGAGACTATATAGGGTAAATATTCAAATTACATGAAAACAGCACACTAGGTCTACTATTAGTAAAGGAAATTTAGGAAAATTTCTAAGCACTATTAACAAATATACATATAACTTACTGAAGAACTTCATAAGCAATGAAAGCAGAAGACGTTTAAATTTCTTTTAAAAAGACCAAATTTTGGATTTTACAGTTACATTTGTTAGATTTGGGAATTGAGGGAAAGGTTATCATTCAGTCTCACTTTACTTTCTTATGACTAAAATATAAACATAAGTCTGAGTGATTCAAAACACTGTTTCTTAAAATATTTGCAATGGGATTTTTTTAGTTTGTTCTTAGAAGGGCTTGAAAATGTAAATATTTTTCACTTCTATTTTGAGGAAAGGTGTCTTGATTGTGCTATTAGGTAAGGAAACCCCTTCAAAAAACGAAAACACAGTATTTCCTTTTGATTGCTACCACACAATCTGTATTGAAGTTAATGAATGTTATGTTGAGTGCTGAGTAAGCCTGTACTTTGCTGCTGATAAAGTCCGTAGACTTTCTGGTGCTATGTCTGTACTACAAGCACCCATGGAACATGTGTCGCTACTGTCACTGCTGGATGATAAAGCTTGTGAGGGTGCAGCAATAGTTCCCAGATACTGACATCCTACGCCAATGTTTTGGAGCCACACAAGAGTAAAACAGTGAAGCTGAATCTCACTTACGTGGCAGAGGCCCACACGACACTGAGATGCCTCTACACAGGACGAGTCAGGCCCACTTTCTATCTAGTCCTTGAAGATGTCTCCTGTAATATGTACATGGGCTCAACAGCCACAGGCCGAGCAAACCAAGTACACCCTACAGCTGAAGTTTGCATATTTTTGCACAATCAAGAATTTTGTTGGTCTCTCATCTCAAACTTAGTGAAACATTTGAATACTTGTAAAGCATTAAGCAAATAGGTAAATCCATTAAACACTAATACTGCCTTCAGCTCTGGAGTCCCCAACA